CAGTCATACCCTCACAAGCGGGTAGTGAACGAATAGATGCAGCTTTTAGAGGCGATCTTAACTGAGAATAAGCTGGTCTACCAATTGTTGAAGAGAGTATAGATTGCTTTAATCTGGACTTCTGATATTTTTTTTTTTTAAACCCAACTATAGGGGTGTAAACGACAACGAGCTCCATACGTTGCAGGAGGGAATATTCGACGACCTGACCAACTTAACTGGACTGTAAGTGTATACCAACTGATTAATTCATGTTCACTAGTATTAAAAGATTAAGTATTTACAGGAATCATGAACGCAGATTTCTACTTTGACTTAAAAATCGTGATCGTGATAGCAGTACGATGCTATATGAACCATGATCCAGCTTTGCAGATCAAAAGTTATGATCAGGGTACATTGTGAGCTCCTGTGAAATAAAAGCAATAAACTTTGAGTAACCGAAAACTTTCCATTTATAACTGCAGCGATCAGTTTTTTTGTTTCAATTGGCAGACGTACTGCCTAAATACATTTGCGACGTCGGAGAATACAAACGGGCGAGATGTATGGAAAACCTTACATAATATTCGTAGTCCACATGTATCATGTAATTACAATTACACTAACTTAACTGAGCCGATATACTTTTTCCTTTTGGGTGATAACTCATCCTCTCCAATTTTTTATATCTCCAATAAATTTTTACATCTGAGGCCGGAAATCTGACTAAGAGATTGTTAACTATGTGATCAAAACTGCAGAACAGAAATTGATAGCGCCCAGTGATCGGACAACTTAGTCGCGTAAAAAAATGATTTTCAAAGGAGGTAAATATTCGAGAAAAATTGAATTAAAATCACTGAAAAATCAAAAATATCTGCGGAAAGTTTTTAAGCGTTACTAGAATTCTTTTCTCATTTTTAAATGCGCTGCTTATGAGCTGTATTTGTCATGTTGTTACTCTGAGTATTCTCTTTTCGCAAAATACAGATCTTCATTTCGAAAAATAAAGCTTTTTATTTTGCAAATTATAGATTTCAAATTCGTTTCGTCATGTTTCGTTTCGAAAATTACAATAGGCCCCCGCTACGTAAGAATCAGGAAGAAAAAAAAAGCAACAATAAGTGATAACATGAAAACAACTGAGGCAAGGCTGCATGCAGACGACGGACAAGAACTTTGAAATGTTAAGCATCCAACAACGTTTTGTGGTCTTTTCTAGAAGCGGCTAGTTTTATTTGCTTCATTGCTGTAGTGCATAAAAGGAACAGTTCTACCTTTTTTCTTTCCTTTGCCGCCATCACTTAACTGATATCCTCCATCCCACAAATTACTTTTCTCTCCTCCACATTGAATTTCTAGAAAGTTTGGCTTATTTTCACTAGCACGGCACTTTATTTTCTTTACCGATGAGAGCAACTTCCCACTTAACCTCGTTCTTGCGACGTAATTTCGGCACCAGATTTTTTAAATATCGCGAGAACACTGGAAATTGCGGAAATGGTCCATTTCAAGCAAATTCGTTGAGCGTCACGTTCCATTCAAGATGTTAGCGGACTGGCCCTCTATCGCAGAAGGATTCCCAACCTTATTTTCACGAGTAACAATTAACACAATGAAAAATTGTCGAATACCTGTGAAGAAATACTTCCCGGCTGGTCGTCTCGGCCAAGCTCAGGCTAATCAGAGACCTGTTGACGAATTTAAGATTATTTAGTTTGTTAGACTGATGGAGTTAACTAGCTTGAGAAACTCGTGCAAACGGAGGTACCGGGAGTTTGATAAAGAACTTTCATTCCCTCTCTGCTTAATGACTCTAAACGGCTCTTCATCTGAAAGACTGAGTCTCTGTGCGTTATTCAGTCCCAAGTACACGCTCTTAAATATCCTAACGGTAGGGATATTTGGGCTTACGCAACAACTGACCTAAGCAGAGTGAACACACATCACTAAAAGGTAAAAATAAATGTGTTGTCTCGCAGCACAGAACAAACCAAGGCTCATATGACTCGCACAAGGATTTCAAAATCATTTCACAGACGTAAACAATTCAACAATTTTGTGAGTGTTTGTGTTTTTTTTTCTAACAGTAAAAATCACTTGGTAAAGATTTCGGTCATGCACGCTTTCATTTGAAAATAAATTGACCTATTTGCAATTTACTATGTAAGGGCTCCTTTCGATTTTGATATTTATTGATGTGATTACTGAGTTGACTGGGACGGTTTGTTCCACCTAAGAGTTGCTTGGGTTAAACATTTGAAAAAAACTATTTAGCTATTTTGTTCCGTGTCTGAGCAACAATTATCTTGAATAGGCCTGGAAAACATTTGTATAAAATAATTTTTAGTTCACTAAGCTGCCACAATGATCGGCAGATACTTCTAGTATAACTTTTACGCTGCTTCTTTTTCCTGAAGTTATCATAGACATTTTGAATCTTAATAAAAAAAATTAGTAATCAGTTTACAAATAACTACGTCTTCGTCACTGTCGTCGTCGCCCTGGGCGCTAATCTGAATCATTACGTTAGCTTCTATAAGCTCAAAAAGTATGTTACGATTGAGGAAAACTAATTGCTTCAAAGCCAGACACAAAATCCCCCAAAAATCAGAAGGTGTGAAAAAAGGGAACAAGGGTGTAGAGCTTTCTTTGGGACTTCGGGACTTCTGGCGTCCTATGTAAAACATGTTATGTACGTACTGACTGGCTAGTTCAGAGGTGAAAAGCAAGAATTTTTTACCTCCGAGCAGCCGATGAAATAACATATCGTGCGTCAAGGGTATACTTCCGACCATTTTTCGGTATATCGAAAGTGATAAACTAATTTTTTCATGCCTGTCTACTGGCATGAAAAAGAATACTTAAAGAGCCTATGTCGCGGGTACGAATAAATAGCGCTGTGTTATGGAGAGGTCAATCTCAGCAACGCAGGAACGAAGCGGATATTATATGTTCGGCACGTGAACGCAAGCACTTCATCCATGCTCCACTATGGGCGATATAGTAGATAAAAACCGGCCTTACGGCCAACAAACAAGGTTATCAAAAAAAAGAGAAGACAAAATTACCGCAAAACATATTTAGTTAGCTTTGTAGATTTGAGAGTATTCTCACGCGCACTATACATGCCTAATATTATTCATGCCAACTAATTGGCAATTCTTATCGAGGACTTTTTTCAATTCTTTTACGAATTTGCATTTGTCAAGTTTTATCGCATCCATCGCCATCTTTTTCTCTCATTGATACAATGACTCGTAAACAAATTACTCTTAAAGAAATTACCGTGCAGGATGTTTCTTTAGTATTGCCTACAACATTCACTTTGTAGGCGGTTTTTTTCTTATATTTCTAATTTGGAAATCATATTACAAAGACATGAAAGCTGAAATGAGGATTTAAAGTGAGGATGGTAGAAGCTTATTTTCACCTTAAATTAACTGCAGGTGGTTACACGGCAACAAACTGCAAAGCCTTCCTTCTACGATATTTGGTAACCTTACCTCCCTGAGAAAACTGTAAGTACCTGTAACTTGCAATTTTCAGTTGAAAACTTTTTCATCAATGCTAACGTTCTCATGCAAACGTTGAATCCTACGTCATAAAAATCTAAATGATCTGTGTTTACCAAGAATATGATAACACGTTTTTCCCTTAAATGAATTCTAAAGGTCAGAGAACTGATGTATTCGAACTAATTTAGTTCTTAATTGTGCACCTTAAAACTTAACCATTTAAGGTATGGGGTAACTGTTTAAGAAATATTTTACAGGCACTTGTCCGTTAACCAGCTCAGTCAACTACCACAAATTATTTTCAAGGAAAACAAAAACCTAAAGTGGCTGTAAGTAGAAAACGAATTACTCTTCATAGTTACTGAAGCTGTATAGTACTCAACAGCGATCGATATATTAGACCAGAGGTGAATATAAAAAAAGGTCCTAGATCCAGACAATCATTCCATATAGATTTCCTTTATCTTTTCCTCTCTTCCGAGTGAGGAAAAGTGCGTCAGTCAGTGATCGAACGACTAAAGCTGAGGTCACTGGACTTACGGGGAACTTATATTCCTCTAGATATCCCGGCAAAGAAGTTTGAATTTTTTCGTGATTTACATTGACCTGTTTATTTTCCCCCTTGATTACTTCCAACTAGTTTCACGTTGGGTTAGTTAGCAGTAAGCATTAATAGTCCTTGCGGCCCTGCGGCCTTTTAATTAAGAACATAAGACAAAAATCCCCATATAAGGGCTGTAGCGACGACTTGAGTAAGGCCAAAAAGCCGTGCAGCCTCGCGAGGTGCGAATGCAGAAGAAATGAATAGAAAGAAAGGGTGAAGGTCTTACGTGCGTCGCCTACAGATATCTACGCTACATCAGTTCCTAACCAAAGTCAGAGACAAGGACAGCCAGAAAACAGACAGGGAGCTTTTATAAGATCAACTGCTCATACTGCAAGTATCCTTTATCGGAAAAACTTCAAAAACAACCGCATGACTGGACACAAACGAGAGGCAATAATTGGTGACGTCAAAATTCACATCGCTGAACATTATTCACTCTATGAAGACAGCTTCAACTAATTATGACGACAGATTTTGGCCAGCAGATTTACTACCTTAGAACATAGTTCCCTCAAAAGATGTCTAAAACTGCCAATATCATAAAAACGTCTTATTCACGGTATTTGCAGACAAATAGAACAGAAGAGAACGACCTTTAACGACGGATCGAAGCCGACCAATTACGACTGACTAACGGGTATTCGAGTCTTGCAGACAATAACACCATGGAAAAACTGACCAATCAGTATGCACGAACCGGACTATGAACAGCTCGACTGACAACAACTCTTCACTAGTCTCTAATGAAGACTTCTGCTGAGGTTGTGCAAGCGTCATTCACCACTTCCCTCACCCGGACGATCAGAATAAATGATCAAATGTTACTCACAGGTTTAAGACATTTATGGTACCATTATTTTTGTTTTCTGTTTTATTTCTATGAACAATGCAGAGAGTTGTCCGACAACAATCTCAACGAATTAACTGATAACCTGTTTCGAGGAATGAAGAATTTAACAAGGCTGTAAGTGAGACCTTTTTAAGATTCTAATAACGTTATGATTAAAGGAACTTTTCTGGCATGGGATTTAAACTTGTAAAAGCAAATCCTGACGACAGACGTTAACGATTTTTCACTGCAGGGCAAGAAGACTAATAGGGAAATTACAATTTATGACAAGCCGGCTTGCAAAGGCTGTTCTATGATCAGACTTTTATACTTCTCATTAATCCTTCCAAATGATGTTAAAGGCTGCAAACCAGCTCGTTAACTCATCTATAACCTTTACCCAATTTTTTTTTTGAGTCTCTCTGTTGTTATCCTCTATCAGTCCATTCTTAACCTTTATGTAGATTGTTTTCCCTATTTTTATACTGTCTTTCCGCATATCTCTCCCTCCGTTTTCCCCGCTTCTCGTTTCAGTGTGTTTATCTGTCTGGACATCCATTGATTCTCTTGCCACTCTTATAGGTGGTTGCGTAACAACAAACTGAAGAAGCTAACCCCAGAACTGTTCACAGATTTAATCAGTTTGGATGACCTGTGAGTGAATGCGTTGAAGATTAAATCTAAAAGCCCTTTGAAAGCCCACTTGAAGAGTCGTAATTTGTCAAGTTAGACTGACTGAAAAGGGAAAGGGGAAATAAGATTGTTATTCTTAAATAACACCATGAACAAATATGAACACTGCAAATATTGTGATATTGCCATTTTGACTTAAGAGAAAAGCTTAGTTTTTCGATTTTATTTCCTAAAAATTTGGACGAAATAATGATGAAATACGAATTAAAGCAAACCAGTCAATACTCAGATGTTAGGAAACTATCAATCAATTTAATGCAGCGAAGAGGGGGGGTGAGCGTGAGCCTCTGAAGCCCTACCCCCTCTACCTCTCCAAACCCTGTTGCAAATGTAAAAGAGCCCAGTGTCCAGTTTGAATATCATCAGCAACGTATTTACTAACAGTAACTTTGGGGGCTGGCAGGTCAAGTTTCGTTACCTTCTTAGCCATAACGAGCATGGGTTTTCTTTTTGCCTCTTAACTTATCAATTCTTAAACGTATCCAGGTCAAAGCGATGACCCTGGTATAAAGAGTAATATAGAGCGTTCCACTTTATTTAATTTAGAAAAAACCGAGAATTACTTGCTTTGTGACACAAGAGCTGCTGACTGCTCTCACTGTTATAACATCAAAAAAGCCGTTTTGTGTTTCTCCTTCACAGCCGTTTATTAGTCTCGTCACACAACAAGCATTGTGCCTCTGGGTGGTGATGGGAAGGGAAGGGGAGGGGGAAGACTTGTTTGCGATGCGAGATCAAACAGCGGCTGTGGAGGAGAATATTAAGGGTTGAGGCGAAGACTTAGAGCTTGATTTTGATACACTTTATAAATATAGAATGTGAGTAGTTAATAACTACCTGAAAAATATAAAACCACATGTTGGAGGCGGCTGAAAAGTAATGCTAACGTCTGCTTTCCAGCTTGGCCTCGAAACCATTCCTCGGGCTAAGCAGGATCTGTTTCTGTTGCGATTCATGAAATAAACGATTGCTTTCAGGGATCTGTCAAACAACGAAATTAAAAATCTGCCCCTAGGACTTTTCAAAGGTCTAAAGAAGCTTAAACAGCTGTAAGTGATGAATTAAATCTGAGATTTTTCAGTTTTCTCAAATATAAAACCCGGAAGTGCTAGATCTTAATTAATGATTTTAACGTCACTCATCTTTCCAACCAACAATTTCCTAAATAAGCTACAAGGCAAGCGCTTTCATTAACAGGGGGACCAGGATTGGAAAGAAAAAAAGATGATTAAAGCAGATATTCAAAATATAAATTTCAACAAAGAACATGCAAGAAGAGTAAAGATCTGCTGGTGTTATTAGATACTACCTAAGTTCTAATGAATGTATATGAAACCTTGAGTTCATTAAGATTTAAAGATTAAGAGGAGCAAATTGATGAAGAAAACTGTTAAAAAAGAACAAATCAAATATAAAGTAGCTTCTCATGCACAAAATGTTGATACAAAAGTTCTAAACTTACCATTTAGTTTAGTTATTTCTGTGTTCATTCATTCATTTAGCTGTTGCTCTTTCACTTTCTTATTTATTTATTTATTAGGTCATTTATTCATCCTTCCACTTACTTAGTTCAAATACAACCTTTCTGATAAAAACAAATACCGTCTGTAACTATCTTTTTGTAAAGGATGAGTAGAGGTTTTTGTTGTCGATTAAGGTGATTCCTCAAAGAAAAAAAGTTACCGAGCATACTGATAATTTTTTTTTAAAACTTAAACGTTCCTTACCAATCCCTCTTTCGAAATTACAATAAAAGGGATAGGTCACCGTGCTTGTTTTGGAGATATGATAAACCAAACTTACCCTACTTATGCCTGTACTGGTACTAATTACGCGCGTCATTTCATCGATTAACGGTACATTTTGCTGCACTGGGTTTTTAAAGTAACACATGTGAAAAAAACTTGATAGATATAAAGTCTCCAGTGCATGGAACAATTTGATCACGTAAATTTAAACGACATGTTCCTCGAGTCGTTCCTTTCAAGGTTATAATTTACATCCTCGAGTAACGGGCTTCGTGCATGCTTTTGGCCTTATCTTTTTTTTCCTTCAAAAAATTTTTTTTTACATTTATCCAATTTAAAGAGGATACATTTTGCACCAAAATTATGCAAAAAAAAAAAAAATATATATATATGTATAGATCGCCGTGCTCGTTCAAGAGCTAAAGACCATCGTACCTCTTTTCCTGATCCATAGATCCATCTATTTGAGCGTTCAGTCCTCTGATTACGTGATTTTTATGCGCAATACAGGACGCGCGGTGCAAAACTTGGGAATTACCTCAAGCAAAGTGTTTAAGCAGATTTAAGCAATCATATTTGATTGGAAGAAGCAAGTATCGGAAGTAGCTATGTAATTAATAAGCAACAGGTTAGTTCTCAATCATCCTGAAACGGTTGATAGCAAAACAAGACTTAACTTTCAACTTGGTATCTAGTTTTTTTAACGCCATCCCTGTTTTCCATAGGATTTTGTCCGGTAATCAACTCGAGGAACTACCCGGAAATATTTTTGCCAACCTCACCAAGCTGTTAAATATGTAAGTCATCAAGCACTACACCCAATGTCCCATCAATAGTGTTTTTCGCCGAGCTTCGTATTACGCCTGGTGGTATAACGTCACAAAATGTATTTTTAAGGGAGATATACTATGCTTCACAGTGCCCAAAGCTTTCTTCGTCGCTTTTTTATTGAGTTATTATATGCCACAGAAAACTGGACAAGAACAAGCTTAAGAGCCTCCCCAGGGATTTGCTTCGTACTCTGGTCAACTTAAACGGGCTGTAAGTTTTTTGATTGGGTTCAAAGATATCACTTACTTTATTAATGACATACTGTAATCCGCGAGAGCATTATCGAACCTAAAGAAGTCCTTAAATTTAAAAATATGCATAATAAAACTATTCCTTGGATTTAGTTTCTACGTGAAAGTGACCCAAATTTTAATCTCGCTATCCAGCTCAACTTATTCTAATGGTTCTTTATTATATGACTTTTTTTAATAAAGTTAGGATATTACGGGCGCTGTCTTTAATTGAAAAAACGTGTTTTATCAGAGTACAAAACACGGAGCTGAGCTAAAGCTGTCACGTTATCTGCCAATGTTTACTATGTCCGACCATTTCCCAGACTTCTCTCTGGCTTTTTTTCCTTAATTGAAAATGAAATCTTGGAAAAAGCGAGCCGGCAAGAAGCAACTGAAGAACCAAACAAAGTTTTGGAAACATGCCAAGCGCCGTAATTGAATTATTAAAAAATTACATCTCGTACCCGTGGTGCAAAGTCATGCCTCTAACAAATAAACATTTATTCGTTTGCCTAGCCAGTCCAATAAACAAATTTTGGGTATTTATCTAAAACATAATTGACATTTAAGGTATCTGTCCGAAAATAAAATCGAGAATTTACCCAAAGGGATTTTCAGCGGCACGAGAAAACTTCAGGTTCTGTAAGTACAACATTCGCAAAAATCACCTGATGGATTTTTCTTTTTTTGTATGCTCAGGAAGCACTCCATATCATCCGATGCCATACGATGCCATATCATACTATGACATTACAGACCACACCACATGTAGATTACTGAGGACCACATAAACCATCTCATGGCCACATTTTTCCCCATTGAATCACAGCACATCATATCATTTTGAAACCTTCAATACTGCTCAAACTTTATAATTTCTGAAACCCTTAACGGAAGACATACCTTACTATCTCATACCGCACCACACGTCATCATAAAAAAAGAACACCACAACACATCACATCACACTTTGCCATGTCATACCACACCCCAGCACACCATATCATGAGAAGGAACACCGCAATACATTACATCACACTTTAACATGTCATACCACACCCCAGCACACCATATCCTGAGAAGGAACACCGTAACACATCACATCACACTATATCATGTCATACCGCACCACAGCACACCATATCATAAAAACGAACACCGCAGCACATCATATCACACTCTTCCATGTCATACAACACCAGAGCACACTGTATCATCAAAAAGAATACCATAGCACATCACATCACACTTTACCATGTCGTACCGCGCCACAGCACACCTCAACATTCTCGTCATACCACGCAAAACCACTCTTTACTAATTCACACTATAACAAATAATCCACAACACATCACGCCACACAGGACTTTCCCGTGAGCAATTATCCTAGCCTCCTATTACGGTGGATATCAAAGTTGTGATTTTTTACTTCCTAACGCAGACTTTTTTTTCTCCGCAGCACTATTTCTGATAACAAGATTCCCAGTGTCACCAACGAAAACTTTAATGACCTTCCAAAATTGGTTATTTTGTGAGTTTATAGCCACTGATTAAATTTATCATTAGATCACCACATCATATCTTAGAGCCCACTGGATCTTACTGGGCTTACTAAAAATGAAAATTGGTTTATAGCAATGACGTCCTGTAAAGAAAAACATTTCTAAATTGAAAATCATGAAATAAGAACATGGTGTTCTAGCGCTAGCTTTATATTTTTGCATCAAAAATACAGAGAAACCGTAATTACTCTGTTTTCAGTTGTTGTTGTTGTCGATTCATCTACAAGAAGATCCTGAAAAGACTTTTTTAACCCTTTAACTCCAACGAGTGACCAAGAAAGCATTTCCCCCCTACAATATTAATACAATATCAAACAGAAAAGTGATGAGAATAGGGAAAACATCAATAAGGGGATTATTTGTTGATCCAACACCAAGTTCTCCAAACTGACAATATAAGGACTGAATGGAAGGCAGAATGATTAATGTGATCTTGGGAATGAAAGATTTAACGACTAAACTGCTTGAATTCCAGGGAATATTATCCTGCTGCAGTTAATATGTCGATGGTACAATAGTACAGTAAAAATACTTAACTGGCTTATTTTTGAGAAAAGATTACAGGTATTTATTGCGAGCACAGTGCGAGAGGCACCTTTGAAGAAATCGGGATCGCCAGTTTACACAAACTTAGGGTTTGTTCCGAGATTGACCCTGGTTAGCAATTAGACTGGAATCCGGAGACGTTGGGCTATAAAAAAGGATGAGTCTTCACGGCGTTTAAACATAATTTAAACACGCAACAAGGGGGCACACGTTTTGACATCACGGTGTAGTTTCAATTTCTTATCCATACCTATTTATCGATGGTAGCCTTTTTTATTTTTAGGAATATGCAAAAAAACGAAATGTCTGAGCTTCCTAACGGGTTTTTCGATGGAATGAAGGACATCATAAAAGTGTAAGGTTTTTTCAGTGGTCAGTGAAACGTACAATATCATATTATATTATGTTTCAAGTTTCCTGCAATACCGACTCCGCAAATATTTAGCTGGTTTATGTCGGTTTAACCTACTGACAACTTGTAGTATGTACTGAGATTGCTGTTGAAGTTACAATCTTTTGCAAGTACATGGTTTCCTTTTTCCTTTTTTGAAGCCCCATATAATCACAGCCTACCTCACTTAGCTTCAAAATCAGTGGAAAGCTTGATGCCTCAAAGACCGTTCGATTCACTATCCTTAGATTGAGCCAACAGCGACCTGGAAAATAAGTTGTACCCCATATTTTGATCATGACCTTTCAGTGTGAGTGACACTATATCTTCTGCGTTTTTATCCTCACTGTATTTTCCCTCTACATTGTGGATTACAGGATAGTAGACACCAGTCTTATGTGTTGTCATCTGACAAAAGAAGACGCCCAATGCACTGCTCTATACGACGACAGCTTCGCCAGTTGCGAGAGCATGTTCCGCGACTCAGCTCCACGTAAAAGTATTTGGGCAATCGGAATCCTCTCTTTGCTTGGTGCTGTGTTTGTAATTGTGTGGCGTCTAATCTTTAAAGAGAGAAACGTAGTCCAGCTTATCATGTTAATGCACTTAGCGGTTGGGGATTGCTTGATGGGCATTTACTTGGTCACCTTAGGTGCCAAAGACCTGTTATGGTCGGGAAGTTACTATCTGCATGACTTCCAGTGGCGATCCGGTTTGTCGTGTCAGGTTATAGGTGCGATCTCAGTGCTGTCCAGTGAGGTGTCTGTAATGATACTGGCGCTAATTTCCGCTGACAGGCTGAAGAACATCGTTTTCCCATACCATGGCAGAGGGCTGACTCGCAGGAAGGCACACATTCTGTGCGCGATTATTTGGGTCCTTGGTTTTGTCATCGCATTCCTTCCCCTCACTGGCATTGGCTTTTTTTGTGACGCCCTAGAGCGCCCTGCCTACTACGGACGTTCCGTAGTGTGCCTCCCACTGCAACTGTCCAACAGGTTTCCAGCTGGTTGGGAGTTCTCCATCGCTATCTTTGTCGGGTTAAACTTCCTCCTCTTCCTGTTCATGACGGTGGCCTATGTCGCAATTTTCCTTAAAAGTTATCGCTCCAGCCGTCAGCTTGCAAGGGAGGGAACCCGACGAGAGGTGCAGGCAAGAAAGAAGAACGCAAGTTCCAGAAGGGAGAGAGCATTGGCCAAAAGAGTCTTCTTTATCATCCTCACAGATTGCGCCTGTTGGATGCCGATAATAGTCATGGGCATCAGGTCTTTGGTTGAAAAAGATTACAGTCCCCGAGGAGATCTTCCTGCCTGGATCGCCGTGTTTGTGCTGCCAATTAACTCAGCCTTGAATCCAATTATCTACACGCTATCAACCCCTCAGGTATGTCAGGGACGTAAATTAGTAAAGTGCAATCGACGTATTACTCCACCGTGTTTATGCGTTAATTACGTATTCTCGCGGAATGCTTAAAAGTGGTAATGAAAGATATACTTCGTAGGCTTCCTAGGAAAAAACTTTATCGTGGAATTATCGTCCAGTGGGAGAATTTGTTCATAAAAGAAAGAAGTGGGTAGCTTATCAAATGTTGCGATTGCAAATGACATTGAATTTCAAAATGATTTTTTTCACACAAAAATCTCCCGCTCCTTGAAAAATATTATTACAAATATCTGCACATGAAATTTCTGAAAGCTACTTGAACAATTTCTCATAGTTCATGTTGAAGCATTTTGAAAATATCAGAACTCGATAAATGGCCATGCAACTTAACAGGCTGATTCTAGCAACCGGCTCTCCTTGTGTTTAAATTGTATGATAAGTTTTATCACTGTTTATGAAAGTTACATTTGTAAACTCTCTATCATATTCTTTCTTAATTTATACAGATTTAATGAAATATTCACATTTCATTCCCCTAATAGGTGCAGGGCATATTGCGACCTAAACTGCGAGTTTTGATGAACCATGTGCGCAGCTTTTTCTCTTGCTGTAAAAAACAACAAGATCATCAAGGTAAGATTTACCATTTTTCCTGGTCACTGTTAAGTCACTATATAGGTGGGAGGTATCATATTTTTGTGATAAGAAAGAAAAGCTCATATCAGTTTGCTTGAAAATAATATGGCTCAGTGCAATTGATGGAATTAGAAACTTGATTACATCCATTTTGAAATCATTGGTGGTCCCTGTAATCTGATTAGCGCTGATTGGTGCACCATTTCTTGCTTTAAATCGCATCATTTTCCCGGCCACTGAGGAGGCTACGCTGAAAACAAAACAACCAATTAGATTTCAAGGCTTGTATAAAGTAACCAATCTAATTGCAGGAAAATGAAAGACGAAGAGTATCATGTGGCAAATTTTGCAACCTTTGTTTCCAAAACTCTTGTTTTTTCCCCCCCAAAAATGGATGAATTTAATTTCAAACTAGCTCAGTACTGCATCAATAGTTCTGTATTTGGGCGATTTCAAAATGGATGTAATAAAGTGGTATTTGAACCTTGTGCCGTGCAATTTTGGTCTGAAATCATACTTGTGATTTCAAATCGAACTCGCGCTATGCGCTCGGTTGATTTTGAAATCACACGTATGATTTCAAGATCATTCCAAGGTCACTTTTAGAGTATTCACAACATCTTGGATTATATGAGCATACATATATATAAGCTTACACGCATACATGTATAAATATGAATATTTATTGTACAAGTATGTTGATTGGTCACGGTAGATCAGGAACAGGGAGACGATGGAATGTTAGAAATGGTGGAAATGGTGCAACTTGGACAAGCAGATCCAGAGCAAGGTAACTTCTGTTAAATTGATCTTTGGTATTTATCCCGACAAACCAGAAAGAATAATGTATGAATACAAGATACATTAGTTAGGAAGCTGATTTATGTCAAAATAATGGATGAAGGGCCAAAAGGAAACTTTTTACTCTTTAATTTTCTTTATAGCTTTATTTATTTATTCTATATACCTTTGGTGGTCGTGTAGTAAGAATGGATGCCACATTAACAAAACTTGTTTTGTACAGGTTGCATCGCTATTTAAAATAAGAGACCTCACTTTAAACATACTTGACATTAACAGCATACTTTATTAGTATTGGTACGAAACGACCGAGCTGGGTACTAAACAACTCAACTGACTGGATACGAATCGACCGGGTATGAAACGACCGTGAACCGGTACGAAAGCATTGGTAACCAACTCAAATTAGGCGGTAACACCTTGATCTTTTTTTTCTTGAACGATATTGGAAGAACTTGAAGAAGAACTCCCATTGATGAGTTTCAAAAGAAATAAAGAAAGAGAAACAAATGATTCATTTTCTGTTAGGTGCAGGCCAAGTTAACGAGGAAGAACATGTACTGCCGGCTGAAGCAGGTATTACAACAAACAAGACCCAACATTGTCTTTATTATCGCAATGAAGTCCCTAGATTAAAAAGATGGATATGCCTCATTTGATCTTTTAACGTGGAGTTCCCAGAAAGGTTTTTTTGTCTTTTGATCAGTTTACTTTTTTTGTCGTAATTCACAATTTGTTTTGGCTTTTTTAATTGACGAAACTCGACGAATATTGTAAGAAGGCGGGAAAGGCAGGCGACCTGCGATGAATCAGAATGATTGTTGCATGCAAAGGAAACCCGGAGCAACTTCGCCGCCTCGTGGGCCAATAGGGTAGAGAATGAATTTGACCTTACTTTAGCCTAACTTAAATGTGTTGGAACACTTATGAAATAAACACACAAAGTTTAACTGTTATCCTGAAGTAGATGTCACTTATTTGTTGTGTTCGATATTTGCAGCTCAAGAGGAAGAAGTACATTTGTTGATTGGCGGAGAAGGTGCTTTTTAAAGCAATTTTATTTTTGTTAGACTGCTTATTGTGACACATGTCACACTCGATCGTGAATATAAGTTTTTCCAACTAGCGTTGGATAAGGGATAATGTACTGTGAACATTTAAGAATATTTCTGTTGGATAATTTGATACCATTTTGTTGTTCAAGTAGAAAAAGACGAAGATGAGGGCAACGTAGGAAATTTGCAAATGGTTGTTGTGGAAGGTGAGTCGTTCTCTGAGAGTCTGTATCAAAGGACATAGCCTAGAATGCTCTTTCAGAAAATAGTAACTATTAGTGGGAAAACCTATAGAGGGTTAAACGAAACGAACCTGAGAGGACCCCGAAAGCATTGCGCTGAGACTTCTATCAAGTAAAGAATCTGACGGGTCATCATTTCTCCAAAGAAAGAGGTGCTTGGATGCTCACTTTGTTCATCTCTGTCATGGAAAGGAAATCTTAATGTCATCAATATTTTCATTCGGAGCTAATACATTGATTGCTAACGAGAAAATTAATCTTAATCTGTTTCTTCCATTTCAGTTCATCCATACAAAGGACCACGAGATAATGCAGTCCAAACTATGACATCTGGACAAGGTAAAGTTTTCATTGGACCAAATCAGTTTTAAAGCGGTTCATAAGTCATCACCACTTCTTAATTTTCTGTCTGATTAACTAATAAAATTCATGACTGTCTGAAAAACAAAGACGGACAGACTGACTGACTTACTGTCAGACGGACTGACTGTCAGACTGACTGACAGACTGAGTGACGTACTGACTGACGGACTGACTGACTAACAGACCGTTAGACTGACTGACTGATTGTTTGAATGACTGACTGACATGCCGTCAGGCTGACTGTCTAACCGACCGACTGACTGACTAACTGGCTGACTGACAGACTGACCAATCCCTCTGAGGAAGGGCTAACGCTCGAAACCTCAGCCATAAAACTCTTTACGGTGGCCTATTTACGTTTTCAACTCAGTTGATAATACCAAATCAACCAATTGTCTTACCGATTGACTTATCAATCAACTTACCGATAAACAAATATCAAGGTTCTGTTTCCTTCTGTTTTAAATCAGAGCAAAAGCAGGATTCTGAACAGGACAAGGAAGGACAACAGGCAGCTTCCACAGAACAACCATCAACTTCCTTTGAGGCTGAAGAAGAAAAAGAGGCCGTTGAATTTGAAACCAAAAGTAGTGACAGAGATGATCGAACTACCTCGGACCGACCATCAACGCCTTTGAAGGAAACCAGCGAAGAAGCTAATGAACACGAAGACAACAAGGGAGAAGAAGAAGAAAAAGAAGAAGAAGTAGAGGAAAAGGAAGAAGAAGAAGAAAAGGAAGAAGAAGAAGAAGAAGAGGAAAGTAAGATCGCTCCAGATGAACCATCTGCTCTCTCTAAAGAAACATTTGAGGAAGCTAAAGAATACCGAGACACAATGGGTGAGGATGATGAGAGCAAGAACGTCCCAGCTAAACCAGAGCAGTAAAACTACTTGATATGACACAGGCAGTGACTTCACTAAAATATAATTATAAACGTTTTATGTAGCACTTAGATTTGTATTTTCGAGCTGGAATAAGCAGATAGCGAGAAAAGACAGCAAAACTAAACAGAAAAAAAAGTTCAGTTACTCCACGAGATCGTAAAGACTACGGTGTACTAGTTCGGTAAAATTGGAAAAAAAAAAAGTCACTCGCTGAATACAAAGATACCTAGACACGTATTTATCTCTTGTTTTACTTAGAAGTTACGATAGCATTTAGCATTTTCAACATGTATACACAATATGTTGGTAGGAGACGGTTGAGGTCCTTTTCTTGCATGTTTCCGAGTTTCATTATACTGGTCTATTTTAATCTTCTTTCTCGTGAAATAAAATTTCATGTATTGCTTTTGCTTACAATTAAAAAAAGATCAGGTTTTAGAACAATTTTGTAGCACCGATTAGAAGCCGTCTCTGGTAAAGTAACATACATTCCTGAAACAAGTTGAAAACGTTTGTGACAAACAAACAACAGAGAGGCTTAAAGATGTACGGACAATGAGATTGTAATCGTGATTAAGTAAGCAACGCTGTTAAACCACATGATTATCAATAAAACAGTTGAGAGAGTTTAAGTTACTTTGCCTTCTAGAAATGACTTGTTACTTTGCGAATAGTGATAAAGACAACACACTACCATCTGATTTGCAATGAGGTAGAAGCAGAAGTAAGGAGTTTATTTGTGGACCGTCTGTCGGAACAAAAGGGGGGGCCTAAGATTTATATTCGACCGAATTCGACTTCCCTTTCATGGAAAAAGTGAAGAAAGTTTCGGTAATACCTTGAGAGCGGGACGGATTATCAGACTTAAAACTGTAAAACGCATAAAAAACCAACAACAAAAATCAATCAAACAAACAAAAAAACCTAAAAAAATTAAGTAAAAGTAACTGGCAACCTAGAATTGGCACATGGAATGATTGTTAAGCTCAGGCGTGATAATAACAGTACTTTGCTCTTCTCCAATCTACATCGAGTCTGTATGGATTAAAAAACTAAAAAAAAAAGGTGTACTGAGAATTAACCAGCGTATCCTACTAAATCAGAAGTACATTGATGAGACGAAAGTGCAAAGCTGCTTTGCTATTTCCATTGACCCCTGCAAGTCTCGTGCCCACCTTAAGATACCCCAAGACAACCCACGGAGTTCTTTGAGAGAAACTCCCTCCTTACCCACTCAGCTCTGTCTTTAAGGTTTTTTAGTTGATTAATCCCGCCATTACTAGCCCCTCTACAGGAGTCCATACACCCTTTAATTTTCATTTTCTCTTAGTTCAGGCATCGACGAATCCAAGGAACTTAGTTTTAAAACCTTAGTTTTAAAACTAAGGTGGAAACGAATTGATATGATCCCTCACTAGATTTCGCATATCAATAACGCTAACGTCTGGCCCGTTGGCGTTTTATGTTGTGACTCAAACAAACAGAAAATGCAATCGCCGTAGGAAAACGGAGTGACAAAATCATGAGCTATGCAGGCGTCTGTATTGCATAGCAGTTTATTTTGATTACTGTTACAAAGTCTGTATTGCCTAGCAGTTTATTTTGACTACTGTTACAAAGTCTGTATTGCCTAGCAGTTTATTTTGATT